TGTTCCACGGCCAGGCCGGGTGGCCGCGTACGTCACTTCCGGCGTGGGTGACGTCATTTCCGGGCGCCGGGCTTGTGCGTTCCAAGCCTCGTTTTCGGCGCAGGAGGAAGGGGAGGGCTCGGCTGGTGCTTAATACAGCGTGGATCTCAGTAGTGACTGAGAGGAAACGCTGGCAGGCTTCTCTTCAACAGGCTCTGCAGACATGGATCCTGGGTTACCTCTGCAGCTTGCAGTGACTGCGGATACCGGTCTTCAAAGCACCAGCACGGCTCAGACACGACTACTCACTCCCTCCCCTATATCATTAATAAACAGGTTAAAAAGCATGGGACCCAGCACCGAACCCTGAGGCACTCCACTCATGACTTCAGCCCAGTCTGAAAAGGTGCCGTTTATCGATACTCTTTGTATCCGTTCCTTTAGCCAGTTTTCTAGCCACGTGCACACTAATTCATCTATGCCCATAGCCCTTAGCTTGCATAACAAGCGTTTATGTGGCACCGTATCAAAGGCTTTGGCAAAGTCCAGATACACTACGCCCACTGTCCTCCCCCCATCCAGATCTCTACTTACCTCTTCGTAAAAGGTCAGCAGGTTGGTCTGGCAAGAACGATCCTTCCTAAATCCGTGCTGCACATCACTTATTATTATACTATGATCCTGGACGAATTCCACTAAGTAGTCCTTAATAATTCCCTCTAGTAGTTTACATACTCTGCATGTCAGGCTAACTGGTCTATAGTTCTCCGGTTGGCATTTTGACCCTTTTTTGAGTATTGGTACCACATTTGCCCACATGATGATTACACTATTGGTTAAAGAGTCTGCTGCAGTTGCCTGCTTGGAGACACCATTGCTACTTCTGCTGAAGGGCAGGCGTGCATGTAGTTGAAAGATAGGAAAGGCTCTGCAAGTGTTTAAGTGTCAGTCAGGTCATGGCCATGTACAGCGGATGGATAAAACTGCTGCAGTATAGGTAGGTATTTTGAATAACCTGCAAGGATCCCTTTCCAAGCTGTGAATCCCAGGATTACATGTGGTATTGTCATGGTCAAACTCCCGATGGTGGTACACAATTGACTAAAGATTGGGAATCCTTGTTCTTGCGTTTAATAGTTTTTTTCCATTGTAGGAGCAATCAAAGGAGGATGATAGTTTGGAGTCTTTATTAGACAATGTGGCTGGATTCAGGCTAATACTTGAAACGGTAAAGGAGCCGTTACCACTCAGTGACCAGGATCTGGAGCCAGTTTTAACTACATCAGACGCTCTACAGAATCTGTTCAACAACAGGTAAGCAGAAATAAACCATAGAACTATACTGTTTAGTTTTGTTTTAGTTTGAGAGCTCACAAGTAACACAACTTGCTTTCCATAAAACAAATATCAAATGTTTTATTTTATTTTTTTTAGCTGGGCATAGAATGACTACTATACAAATTCAAATTTACACTGTGAGCGATGGTAAAAGGCTTCTTTGGTTACATGAGAGGCCAAAGTGACCGTGCTGTGCGCCTAGGTATGGGGGAGCTTGTGACTTCTTCCCATATGACAGAGCTCGCGTCATGCAGCCAGTCGCTAGACCTAAGCCGTGTCACTGACGGAGGGAGTGACATTATTGCTTCTTCCGTGTTCAACACCAGCCGATACAGGGGATTTTAATGCTGGCTGTGATTATAGTGGGAAGAGTGGCAAGATGAATATCAATGGGTCAGGGGCCTCAAAGCAAAGACACTGTCACTTTTCCCAGAGTGTGTAAGGTGACGGTATCTTGGTGTCCGCGGGGAGCTGGGGAGGAGGTCGACGAACTTCCGTTCATCAATCCCCTCCCCGTTCTATGGGACTGGGAGCGATGCAGATTGCATCACTTCCGGTCCCTGGGCTGTCAGTTCTGGGCTCCTGGAGCCCAGCTATAAGCTATTGAAGTGCGATCTGCACTTCAATAGCTTATTTCCAGTGTAAAGGTGACACTGAGGGTCTTTTGGACCCCCAGCATCACCTTAAAGAGTACCTGTCACCACCATCTGCTATCACATGGGGGGGCTTGTAAGCCCCCCCATGTGATGGCAGTCAAAGTAAAGTAAAAAAAAAAAAAAAATTTTTTAAATGAAAATTAAATAAAATAAATCTAATAATA